TCTCTCCGATTTTAACAAAGTCCCCTCTGACCACCAGACGTGCTGTTTGGGGAGCTTTCTGTTGGGGGTTGTGGCTTTGCATTTTCACTTTTTGTTTGTTTCTTTACCCAGTAGTGTATTTGCCAGCTCATAGAGTCCTATTGTGAACCCGGAAATGTTGAGCACCCCAAAGTTTTATGTTAGAAATGTGAAGTATGATTCCCCAGCCCATAGAAACTGCTGGATGCTAACTAAGCATTTGTGCACATTCAGCACAAATTGCGTTAATTAGCATGATAGCCTACTATGTGGATAGTAGTTAAAAATGTCTTGGCTGATTTGGACAATTCTTTAGTGTTTTGAGGGGTTATTTAGGATGCTGAATCCATTTCTGACATTTTCAGAATCCAATATAGCTGTTCAAACCAGAAAGTGGCTACATGTGTAATCCCGTTGGGCCATTTTGGGTCGATTTTGAAGTTTTGAAAACTAAAATACCTTTTGTGCTCTCTATATCCAATGGTCGCCACACTACTCATGGTAGTCACATTGCTGGCATCTAGACTACAGTGTAGATATTCAAAGGAGCTTGGGATGCTAAAAGACGTGGCCCTTTCTCACACTCACAAACAGCAGCCAGTCTTTCACTTTCTCAGGTTTATTGTATTCGTTTCTTTGACTAAAACCAAGTGTAATAGCCCAACAGTGCAATCACACACTGACAAAAACTGCCCTAACACTTCCTCCATGCATCCATCCATCTCGTCATTCTATAGCCCCCCCCCCCCACCCCGCCTGTTCTTACTGTTGTTTTGTTCCCCCTCTCCACCTGCCCCTGTCTCCCCTGCTGTGCTGTGTCTCTCTCTGTCTGAGCCCTGGATAGTATTCCTCTTTACGCTCCGCTGCAGTGCATGCTTCTTGTAAAAGGATAAGCACCATGCTGTGCTCTTTTGATTTTATTTTTCCTCCTCGCCAGCTCCAGCCTTGTGAGGCCTCTTCTCCTGTGTCATGGCTATACTGCTGCTGCAACAACAAGGCCATGCAAGCATCTAGGGAATAGACCGAGCCAGTTGTTCCTCTCCATCACCTGGGGTTTAAACTGTCCCAGTGATGGAGAGGAACTAGAAACTGTCATGTGTTCAGCTGCATGCTAAGATTACATTTACACCGGTCTCCCAGGGCTAGGGCGAGGTGGAGATTGGATCAATTGTCCTTTTATTGTAATTCCTACATGGATCAAAATGGGGAGAAACCGTGTGTTGAATGTCTTTCACTTGTTCACTAGAGTGGTGAACAAAATGGGAGGTGATTATAGGTTACGATGTGCCTCTAACAACCAACCACTATAGAAATGGCTGACAATTAATTTGTCTGGAATCTGTAGTCTGAAAGGGGAATTGATTGACAAGAAGCCTAAGCCACTTTCTCTTAGTAATGCCCTGCACTCTGTAATGAAAGTCTTTTGACAAGCAGAAGCTCAGAATGAGGGTTTTCAAACATTACGAAAGAAAAAAAGAGGACATAGAAATGTGGCCCGTATTTAACATGTTCCCATATCCAGTGCATGTGGGTGCATTTTCTTATCAGTATTCAGTACCTACAATCTCCTTTATTTTAGAGCATCCTATTAACAAACAACATACTGTGCTCTATTTCCCGTATTTATCTTATATAAGAGACCACACTTTCAACCATATTTTGATAAACAGTACAATTGTCCGGCCATTCTTGCATTTCCTCTGGGACATTTTCAGTAGGCATTCTTCTTTTGCTTTTACACTTATTTTCTTTATGCTCACAGACATGCTCTGTACTGATAAAGGGCAAATAATTCAGAAAGTAGAACCCCCTCAGATTGAACTTTACTGTATTTATCCTGCAACAGGTGTATGTAACGATGGTGCTCTATCTTGAGGAATGCTTCAACAATAGGAGCTGAGGCATTTCATGTTATTCTGCAGATAGACACCCAACAATAGTCCCTCCTAAGGGGGTGAGCCACTATGTGTTTCTCTTCAAGCTTCTGCCAGCAAGGACTCCTGCTGTATCCCTTGTCTTTGCAGAGGATGAATCACTGGGTGAGGAAGCCCCCCCCCCCCTTCTCTGCTTTCCTCTCCTGAGAGATCTTGGCCACTGAGCCCTTGCACTGATTACTCTCGTTACTTAATTATACATTTGGACCCACCGCACTGGCAACAAAGGGGCCGCTGTGCCTCCATTGACCCAGCTCCCTCCTCATTGTGCCCGGCTCTGAAAGGGAGTCAAACTAAATAAAGAGGGTCCACTTAAATATGTTGCCACAGGGACTTAATTGACAGATTGAAGGCAGTTTTTTCACCGGGGGCCCTCTCCCTTTCTATGAGGCTGTTCGCTTGAATTGCTCTTCCCTCATGCATCCTGCTGTGAGGTCCAGTGGGACCGGCCTGCAGCTCCAGAGCTCTTGTTTCCTCAACTTCACTGTCTATTGTCTCCGGGGAGAGGGTGAGCAGCCAAGAGCATTCAGCGACAAATCAATGTGGGAAACGGAAGCATGTGGGGTGGGTTTAAGTTAAGAATGTGCTTATGTTTACCAAGAAATTAAAGTTCAAGTATCTCAACTGACTGAGGATAGCATGTGTGTTATCGTCTGATGTAAGCCCAGTGGTGGAAGAAGTACTCAGATTTGATACTTAAAGGTGGGGTAGGTAATTTTGGAGAAACCAACTCGAGTGCGCTAGATTTTGAAAATACACAACCGGAAAAAAACTGCCACTTCCTTACAGAGCCCCTCCTCCAACACACACGAACGCGCACATGACCAATGAGGGCACGAGATAAGTTTGTGCACAGATGGAAGGCTGACAGGCAGGTAGGCCATCCAGTCATTTCAGCCGGGCCGGCTCAAATGATTGGTCGTGCTTTTTACAGTACTACGGCTTCCACAGATGATATTTTTTTATGGATTTTTTGTCAAAGCACTTAAGATATTCATTGCTATCGGGATGTTAAGAGCATTCCATGGAATATAACAAAAAGTGTATCTCGAGCCGGTTTCTCAAACTTACCTACCCCACCTTTAAGTGAAAGTAACTGTGTATTTATATCTTGAACTATAACAATATGTGAATGTATATTTAGTTGTTAACTTGTATTCTGAATAGTTAATTTTGGGAATCTGTAAAGTAACTTGAGCTGTCAGATAAGTGGAGTTGACTAGGAAGTAAAATATTGCCTTGCAAAATGAAGTGGAGTACAAAGTAGTTTATTTTTATTTTATTATATATTTCCTATTTTTAGTGAATTTTTTTTTGCAGTATTGTCAGGACTGGCAAAAAAGTCGGCCATTTTGAATTTTATTTTTCCATTTATGTGCAAAACTTTTCCTTCGGTTACCATCCGATTAAATTCATATTTACTACTATTGTTCAACCATCAAAACAGTTTGCCATCTTTCGGTCAAAGAATAAATTACCTAAACAGAATAGGGGTGTCAAACTCAAATACACAGTCGGCCAAAATAAAAAAATGGGTACTAGTCGAGGGCCGGACTGGTTCAATGTTTATTGCAAAAGTTATTGAAATGAACTGATTGCACATATTAAACCTGGAACTAACAAAGCTTAAATGATTGCCTATAAAAACAACATTAAACATTAAATAATCAGTTGCATTCATTTCTTATGGCTCTATCTGCAGAGTCATTTCTTATGATTACATTTTTCCACAGGCCAACAACAGCTTCAAAAAAACAATTTCCCTCAAAGAAAAAACCAAACATGCCCTGTTGTCTCAAGAAAGAAAGTGCAGAAGGAAACATCCATGTAAACTCAGTTTGCTGCTCTGTGATGCTAGTTCAAGCCAGATACTTGGCATCTCATCTTGGGTGCAAGTTCATCAATGTTTGGGCTCAGGCTCTGAGCTGAGGAATCCCTCAGGATTGAGTGAAGGTGTGCGTGCAATATACCGGCGGGCCAGATCTAATAGTAATTCAAAATTATCCTGCGGGCCGAAATTAAATCCACCAAGGGCCTGATTTGGCCCCCGGGCCTTGAGTTTGACACATGTGGAATAGAGTATAAACAAACATTGTTTATTGAATTCACTTTTATTTGTATCAAACATTTTCAGGATTTCTGTCCCCCTATTTCACTCATTGTTTGTGATTTTCTTAATCCTCTCAACATAGTTTTTACATAGTTGTAAACTCAACCTAGCTTTGAAAAACTTGTTTAGCTTGTGAGGCTGAACCTAAATTGTGTAGTGAGTGTCTCAGTCAGTCCAATATTGTTTTTCGGCTCAAAAAGCAGAAATGAAAGGCTGTCATGTGTGTATCTGCAGTATATCACTCATCTGTCTGTCTGTTACAAGGACTTTTTCCCTCTTTTTGTAAAGGATGCATATTTTCTTAAGACATTTGAGCTTGATCACATTATTTGAATAGTCAAATTACTTGTGAAATGTTGGAGAAAACTCATTTAACTTTCTGACTGAATAGAAGGTAATGTGGCCTTTGACCATGCTATACAACGCTCATTTCAGAGTATAACCTGGTCTTGGTGTTTCGTTTCTTTATCTCTGTAGATGTTTTACTTAAAAATGCATTTAAAATACCAAACTTAATAAGCACTGCGCTTGAGTATTCAGACAAACTAAACCCTGTCTGTGTCCTTGAGATATAATCGTCCAATTTCAAAGAACTCTTAAAAGGCTAAATGACAAACTGCAGTTGAATGAAAAGTATTTGAACGTCTTTATAAAAGAACCCAGTGTATAGTTGTATTCGTTGTTCATCTTTTGTGAAGTTTCAGCATTGAATTTGCTACAGACACAGCAGAATGGCGTTCTGTGCTGCTTTTTAACCATGAAACACTCAGACTATCACTCTCTCCTGTCCCTCTTTATCCTCTGCCGTCTGCACTGAAAGCTGTCAGTGAATGAGAGGTTGAGCACAAAAATAACATCTGCAGTGATGATGGGCTACTGGGGGGGAGCCAAATGAATAATTCCTTATATTTCCCGTGTCTGTCTTTTTTCTGTTACAGTGTGACAGCGAGATTGACATTGATGACAAGGTAAGACTGCTTTTCCTCTGTTTATTCACCCACCACATGAAGTGCCTGAGAGTTGTGAATAACAAATTCAAGCTCTCGACTAAAGAAGGGAAACAGTCAAAGTGTGTTGTTGGCAAAAAGAAAGAACGATGAGGTGCAAAAGACACTCTTGTCGGGCCAAACACTGTTGATCATTTGCGTCTTACAGAGCGAGGAAGTGACAAAGAAAATGCACAAAAGGAAGAAGCTGTTTTAAACACAAAACATTGATTATTTTTGGAGCACATTATGTCTAAATGTATCTTAATACGCCCTATCCCAGATCTTATGCTACCTAAGTTGGAGTTTTCTAAATGAATGGATGTTATGACCTCGGTCTGCCTGTTCCTAAATGGTTTTCTATATCCTGCGGGATACAGTCATTTTAAAGGCTGTGGCCATGTATAGGTGTAACATAGGTGTAATATGGGTCTAATAACAGTTTAATATGGGTATGGGTCTAGTAACAGTGTAACATGGGTATAACATAGGTGTAATATGGGTCTAATAACAGTTTAATATGGGTATGGGTCTAGTAACAGTGTAACATGGGTATATCATTGGTATAACATTGGTGTAACATGGGTGTAATGTTGTGTAATATGGGTGTATTTTGGGTGTAATAACAGTTTATATGGAGTTAAAGGTCACCTATCATGCTATTTCTAGGCAATAGCATAGGTCTCAGATATATACAAATATATAAAAAACATGTCTATGAAGTGTTTTGCTCAAAATACCAAACAGATCACCCATTCTAGCCATGCCTCATATCCCTCTATTTCACTTCCTGTTTCAAAAGTGCTGATTTGGGGTATAAAGCTTTAAAAAAAAAAGGAGGGGGTTGAGCTCATGCGGGACCCGGCAGCTACTGTCTAAACTAAATGCTGCCGTGATGAAACGCCATATCATGGATTATCAAGGATTATTTCTGAAACAGTATGGAGCTCAAAGGCTTTCTCTCTTGCCGGTTATACCACAAGGTGAGTTCCTTTTTATTTCCTGCTTCTTCACACACATGCTCTCCAGTACAGGTTAGCTCTGAGTGTTAGCGATGCTAATGTAAACATGCACCGACCATATTACGTCCAAAACAGTCGGGCATTGTTTCTGATAGCAACGTTTCTGATAGGGCCGTGGGTGTAAAGCCAGCCTACATTTCAGATATTACGTCATATCGGACGCAAATCTGGATCAGCTCCGTTGTAGCCCCGTTTTTAGAGATTTGGGTACGGAGGAAAAGAGAGAGGGTTTTATTTTCTGACGCTGCGTGAGTTCCCTGACACACCGGGGACACATCTTTATGTATAAAAGACATCAAAAAGTGCATTTTACATGATAGGTCCCCTTTAATGTGAAAAACAGGCACAGATAATTTTTCCAAATATTTGTATGTGCTTTACCATTTAAGGGTTAATCTACTGGATAGTAACGTAAAAAGATTTTGTGCTGTTTGAAAAATTATTTTAGACAGTTTTTTTGAACAAATTAACCTTATCAAAGAAGGTGACTGAAAATAGTAGCTGCTAACTTGTTCAGTTTCCATTTTTTCCATTGGGTGTTTAACGTATAACTGAAATGCAGACATAAAAGTCTCAAATATAAACATGTAAGAAAAAAAACTGGAACTAGCATTTTCAACTAATCTTAGCCGTGATGTCATCCAGTATTTTCACAATTTGACAGATGTGGCCTTATCAGTTTCTCTTGTGTGTATTTGTTCATGGCAGACTTGGTTGGTTGTCTGATGGCAGCCACCTGGTTACAAGATGAAATGCCTTCGGGGAACCTCACGCCTTCTAATTCCTCCACAGTTTAGCAATTACTCCCTGGTAAATGAATGAGATGGCATGCCTAATCTCCTGTAAGCCTAGCTCCCAGTTCTGTGGAAATGTCTGCGGCTCTCCCTATAAATAATACATTGATAGTAGGCCCAATTTGCATTAACTGTAGCCTGGCAAGTCAATAGGCTTTTATCTCTTCATTGAAGCGAGAAGCAACCGAGGGCGCTAGCTAGTTGACACGACAGAGAGACGTAGCAGCCTGTCAGTCAACATACGGCTGCCTGGCATCACTGTGGGGGGGGCAGAGAGGGAAGTAAGGTAGGGGGGAAGCTCTCAGAGTGTTTCCTTTGCAGGGTTTGTTTTCCTTCATGCTCTACCAGTGACTTGAGACTTGTAACGTTGCTATATAGTGTCACACATTTTGACATCTAATAAAAGTTTGATACTATGATACTAAACAACACTACCAAAAGGAAAAGAAGAGACAAAACAAGCATTGTTGAGGCGTTTTTTATAGAAACTCAGCAGTGTTGTTATGTTGGGTGTTTGTGAGCCGTCAGCCGCTGTCTGCTCCATATTTGGCTTTTGGTACCATTTATAATAGCCAGTTTTGGTGAATTATCCGACATTCTGCCAAGCTTTCAGCCGTCTGATTGTCAAATTTTGTACCAATTACTACTCGGTCCACTGTCAAGAGTCACACTAGTTTGGCCTGGTCAGACATTTTCTTCTCATACACTGTTTATCAGTATTTCATAAAGTCATATAGCATTACAACCATTACTGCTCAATACAAATTAATACTGAAGGCAATCTATGAAAATGACAAATGTTTTTTACTAATGTTACAAGTTTTTACACTGTGAGAATAATACTGGGTTGACTGTGTGAAGAAAAACATGCTACCTAAAACATTAATGTCAATGATAATATCAAAATATTGCTCATAGAAAAGCAACATAACCCAAAATAGCTCTTCTGAATTGCTGCTAGCTTACATTTGCTATGCATCAGCAAGCAGCACGTGATAAAAAAGTGATATTAGAAGACAAACATACATGGACAATGAGTGTAAAATCAAAGCAGACTTTAGAAAACCTATTTTCTTAACTCCATTAACTCCATTTTGTTGTGAAGGGCAATAACAAACCTTTCATTACATAACATAACAACACATTAACATTGTCTAGTATTGTTATAGTCTTGTTTTATGACATAAAATACATCAGTAAATACCCCACTGGTAAATCCCCGAAGCTTTTATGTGTCATTAAAACGGTGGCTGCTAACAAGTGAGACTGCTAAACGTCATCACAACGACAATAGTCCGCTGTTAGCTTAGCGGTGGTAGCATGCAGCCATGTGACCATAGTTCGTTTTTTACCATAGCTTTTTACTGGTGCCGATTGCAATTATCCTTTAAAGATCTTAAAGTGGTGGTAATATGGGGAGATAACCCTGCTGAAATGGAAATGTGATAGTATCTGTGTGTTGGCCTCAGATCTTATTTTCTGCAATATTTCAAAATCAAATTGGGAAATAGTATTGCTTTTTGTCAAGGGACCCCCTGCCATGCTATCTTACGGGTAGGCCTACAAAAATATGTCATCTCTGCACAGGGCCGTCCCTCCCTACAGGCCGATCATGCAGACTGCGTGGGGCCTCACCTTGCAGAGGGGGCCTCATCTCGGTTTTTCGCCGCTGCGAGGCTCCATTCGCTGCCCCCCCCCCCCCCCCCGTCGACGCTCGCGAATCAGAGGGCCTCATCATATAACTTTGCGTGGGGCCTCATGTTGGCCAGGGACGGCCCTGTCTCTGCATCACTCTTATTATTTAAGCATGAAGCTCGCGTTGATAATTGATGTTGTTGTACTGATTGTATTGTTCCATTCCCAGAAGAAGAGCTATTCATCAAACAAAAGCTTTCATTTGTGGCCAACAGGAAATGTAAATGAACAAAAGCATAATTTGAAAAACAGGTTGTACTGTTATGAAATCTTTGAGGTTTCACTGTTGACGTACATGTTTTTGCCAACAGTGCAAGAGAACATCTGGATTAAGGCTAAAGCAGTGCCGACCTTTTTCATTTCTCAGAAACACATTATTATAATCAAGTTGATGACGAGAGTCGGGAATCATCCGTAGAAAATTGCTCAGGAACGAAGAAGAATGGAAAAAAAAAATACTTTGACAGGCCATCACCAAAAGCAGACGGAGACACAAAAAAAACGATGGTTTAAAAATTGGGTTCCAAGAGGAGAAAGACAAACACTGTCATTTGTAATTGCCCGCTCTCAGGATAACACGACAGCGATAATTTTCTGCAACGTTTTGCTGAAACAGGTGCCAGCTTCTCCCGTATCTTCCCAATGAAAACAAAGACTCCCTTTCACATCAGATTACCAGCCACCTGAACACCCACATTGTCAGGATTTCACAGATTAACTTAATTAGAATATTGCTTCCAGGTGTGCCCCCGGGGTGCAATCAGTTACAGTGTATTTTGAATAAAGCTGACGAGCTGCTGCTCCAGCAAAGTCAGTTTGGATTGTTGCACCTTGTGAAGCCTGACATGGCACTCAATGTGTTTCCAGAACGTGTCAGAATTGAATTCTTCTGAGATTGCCAGGTCATCTCCAGCTCAGCGCGAGGCTGTTGTGACGGGGGTCTTTATGTAGATTGGACCATGTCTTGAAGAAACAAGCAATCAGAATCCCAGTGTTGTGTTCTCATCACTGGCATTACTTCCTGGGGGGGGCATTTCATCTGAAGTCCAAGATGACTCGATGTCTGACAATGAGAAGTATTCAGCCTTGACCTTGAATTGCTTATGGCTGCACCCTAAGGGAACAACCACATAATTAGGGATTCCTTATGGTGCATTAACAATCTGTTCTGCTATTGGGCATAGCTACGCTAAATCAGATGCTCAGAAAGGAACCTAACCACATGTTGGGTAAATCGCTTGGCAATACAGGGACTAAGTGTTTTCAAGTCTGTTTGAGGCCGTGCTATGGAAATATAAACGTCATTCATTCTTTATTCTTGATCCAAATACTTTGAGCCACTTCAATTCTCTGTGTGACTGATTAAACTGTACTTACATGCCCCAGAACACGTGTTAGCTGTTGAGAGCTTCACAGAAAATGTGTTGAATGAATGGTTATGCTTGTGTAACGTTGACATATGCGGTAACAC